TATACGAATTTATTTTAAATGTTAGGCGTTATTTTAGTTTTTTAATGCATCTTTAAATTTACATTAGAAACATATTATATTATGCTTGAGTTATTTTTTACAAATTTTTTTTATTTTTTATTTGAAGGAGTTTTTAACGAAGAGTAATAGGTAGCCACTTAAAAGATCAATGAAAGCATTAGTGAACAAAAGAGATAACGATGGATAGGTTTTAAGAGTTAGTCTTCATGCTTTAATGTCTGGAATTATCGATATGTCGATATTCTCAACGTTTTTAATTAATTTCATGTCTAGAGTATTTACTTGAATATTGTATCCGTATTATCGTTATATATTACGAATCAAGCAAATTTGACAAGAAATAATTTAATTATTTGATATAAACAAATTTAATTCAAAAATTAAAAGAAAAAAAAAATTTTATTTTAATACGTTTTATATCGAGATACTTTTCGAAGCGAAATTTTCATTTAAATTATTATCACATGTGTAACCGATAGCATTGTCGATTATTTTCGATATGTTGGAAATAAATGAATTCGATAAAAAGTTCAACATGTACGTAAAAACGATACAATTCTTGCGAAACAATTTTTAAATTAGAAAGAGATATCGACTTTGAAAATCTAATAAGGTCAAGGTTGACGTGTTAAGATCACGAAATCGTGCATGTGAATACATGTAAAGCGGGGGAGTTTGCAATTTCCGTGATTGCTCCGCTGCAACAGGTAAAACTTTGACTTGATGTTAATTTCGAATACCCGACTCATTGCTCACACGCTCCCGTTTTGCAATAAAAGATAAAACTTTCTCGAAGCATTCGACGTAATCCATTAACTGTTTAGAGGCAATCAACTTGAAATCTGGGATTAATAAAATAGTCGTTTCTGCGAGTTCATGGAAGACATTAACCAAGGGAATAACAAATTCACTAGAAAAATTATAAATTATTTATAAATAAATTATTATAAGATTTATAAATAAAAATTAATTCTTAAAAAAAATTTACGATGTTTAAAGAGAAATTTTTTTTTTTTTTTTAATAAGAAAAATAAATAATTATTCGCATATATTATAGATTAATTTTAATTGGATTAAATTTTCAAATTGATATTTAAAATTTGAAAATATTTTAATGTTCTATCGTTGTTACATGAACAGGATGAAAATATATCGAAGAGCCGGTTTTCATAGCAACATACTATATGTGCATATATATATATATGTATATATAGCGAGGCACGTGTTCGATAGAATAAATAGAACATCTTCTATTGTGTAATTCTTTATAGATTATATCGATTCTTAGATTCAATGTGAAAGTTCATATTAAAAAGGATTTATAATAGATATTCAACAACATCATCCAATCGAAAATATACTATAGTACAAATAAACTTCACTGAAATCTATCATGATTTTCGAAGTTATAATACCATATTATTTACATTTGTCAGCTTACAGCATACATTGTGTATACTACAAAAAAAAAAAAGTTGCATGTTGCCATCGATATAAACTAATCTTTCTTCAATCACAATAAAACATATATGCCGGTACATAACCATCGATTCTCAGATAATCCCGGGCTGAATAAAAACGAACTTCATGTTTTTTTATTTTATTATGAAATCGAGTGTCTCTTTCTTCTAACCTATCTGCCGCTACATATCGATCTTACCATGTCCGATAAACCGGTCGACGTTCAGTTCGCGATCGAGCGAACGCGCACTGAGGCTTCATTGGTCATCGCCGTTAGTAACAACGATGGACAACGTATCGGATTTTGATGCTCGGCTCTTTATAATTAACTCTTTTGCTATCGGCCCGACCGAAGTGTCCCGACCGTCGATACACTCTTTTGTACCGCGTAGATCAATTTCGATCACGCTCGACCAAGTGGAAGTCGACTGCAGCGCATCTCGACTCATGGATAGAGAGAGAGAGAAAAAAGAAAAAGGGAGATCGAAGCAAACAGGGAGCGTAGAGGTTAGTAAAGTAACAGGGAGACGCGAGGGACAACAATGCGCAAAAATATCGGGAAAAGCTCGAGTTAGAAAAGATATAACAGAACGAACATAAAGTCCTAAGAGGATTGGAATCGATGATCGGATACGAGATACATGCGAAAAATGCCGAACGAAAAGATCAAGAAGAAAAGCGGTTGGTGTTATGTGTGTATATATATGTATACTAGGGTTAGATATGGAAAGCACTTGCGCACGAAAACGAACTCAAGAGAAATAGACCGTTTCCGATTACTTTGTCTCGCGAATATATCGAGAATTGCGTCAATTCGATGACCTGTATTTGCATTTATATACATATACATATATCTTATATAATCTTTATATGTATATATATATACAAATATAAATGCAAATACAAGTTATTTAAAATGACAAATATGAATCAATGACATGACAATGAAATCAATAATTTTTATCAATTTTTTTATTAAAGTTATTTATTAAAAAAATTTGCTAGATAATAATATAGTAAAATAATATAGTAAAGTAGTATAATAATTATAATATAGTAATATAGTTATTAGATAATAATATAGTAAAATTAAATGTAATGTTTTTATCTGTTCATCATTGTTTTAAATTTATGATTGAATTAATTATAGTTTTTATCAATTTAGAAAAAGCTTCTTTTTGTGTGAATTATAATGTTTTCAATAATTTTGTGTTTATACATTATTCTATGCGTAATTCTTTTTTTAGATTAAATTTCTTGAAATGCAAATATTTAATACTTAACTTTTTTTTTTAAAGACTTAACGCCTAACGTTTATTACTTGACATTTAACATTTTATACTTGATAGTTTACATTTAATACTTGATATTCGATATTTGACATTTGACATTTCTATATCCATTGCATCTATTTTAAATCTATATTTCATTATAATATAATGAATTATGCTTTAGTTAAACAAAAAAATCATCGAAGAAATGTTATGTAGAACAATGTAGATTCTATATTTCGCGACATTTCATATGACTTGCAGCTCAATCTAGATAATGAATATATCCAAAGAGAATATTGTAAATTCTATACTGAATATATGTAATAATTTGATATCATTTTTCAAAGAGTAATTTTTTTAATATAATATTTCTAATTGTTTGAACAAAAATTTTTTTTAATCAAGAATTATACGTTGAAAAATAATAACATCACAAAGTCTCATCAAATAATTATACTTTGAAAATTTATTTGTAAAGCGTAATAAAAATAAATTATTAAAATTAATTTAACAATTAAACAAATTTTAAACATAGAAATTAAAATTTTTAAAATAGAAATTAAAAATATTTTAGAAATAGAATGATGTATACGAGATCATTGTTTTAAAAATAATAATTAAATATATATTTTTTTTTTAAAGATTAAAGCAGTATTATCATAATTTTGAAAGAAAAATAATGAAAACATATTGACAACAATTAATATCTGTGAACACGCGCCAAAAACAAATATAGACAAGGAGAGTAAATAATGAGAGAAGGACAAAGATAGATCATAAATTGTAAAATCAGTGCCATTTAAATATCGCAAATGAAATATATATAAACAATGAAAATAAATAGTTAAAAAAAGATAAAAATAGAATAAGAAATAACTATAAATGTCATCTTTTACGTATCATATTTTATTATAAGATGATTCTTTCATTTAAGAGATATCACGACGGTCAATTTTTACCCTATCTTATCCTGTCTTTAAAGAAATATTTTTAAAACTCAAGAGATGGCGCTAGCATTTAATTCCTACCTTCTATCCTAATATTTGTTTCCCTTGTATGTTTTATTTACGACTCTAAAGATGGCGCTGATTCATAATTTTTAATTTATTTGTCTTTTTCATTTTTTCACTTTTTCCTTCTTTTTCTTATACTTGTTTTTTACCACAAATAAGAATATGTATACTTTCAAACATTTCAAACATATAGAAAACAAACATTTGTTCATGTTGCTATTCATTTATTATTCCATACAACAAAGACAGGAATCAAATGCCAAAAAAAAGAAAAAAAAAATAAAAATAAGAAATGTTTAAAAATTTAATGTAATTTAAAATCTTAATATATATTTTATAATTTATATTATTATATTATTAAATTATAATATATAATATATAATTATAATTATAATTATAAATAAAGCTTTAATAATATTATATTATTTCATATTATATTATTTAAATCTGATTTTTTATGCAATCGATAATTAAAAATATAGGAAAAAATTCTATTAAATATTAGATATTTTGTGTTATAATTATTCATATTATTATTACTTTTTTTAAATGATAAAAAAAATTATGCTTTTTTTAAGAAGAAATAAAGAATTTAATTAAAAAATGGGATTTTGATAAAAATTTAAAAAAGAAAGAATATAATATTTTAAAAATGAAATTTATAATAAATTAAAGAATAAATTAAAAAATCATTATATAGAAAAAATAATAATATTGAAAACATGACGAAACAATCAATAGTATATATAAAACGAAGATTCAAGAAATGTATATATGTATACATATATATACATATATAGAATCATCTAATTTTGTAAGCCCAGAAGCAAATCATAATCAATAGAAAGAATAGCTCTTCAATGTAATTAAAAAGAAGCAAATATCTTCATTTGACAAGACAAAAATTTTATTATAACCCGAAAAATGTGAATATGTTTCCATGATTCAAAAAAAATATGAAAAATGTAAAAAAAAAATTTGAAACAATTAAAAACTGAAATGTGAAATTATAATAAAGATATATAATATCTAAAACATAGAATCCTGAAAGAAGAAAAACAATACGGTAAAGAAAAAAAAGGGAGAAGAGGACGCCACCAGCCGGTAAAGAAGAAAGAGATGGCAAACATCGCGAGCAGAAAAGACGTAACTGCTGTGGTAAGACAGAAAGCACAGGAGAAGCGTAGGGACGGGAGGTTAGTGGGGGTCGGAAAAGAGAGCTAATGAGCTCGACGATGCGGCGCCAGTCGTCGAGTCGCCGTGTTACCACGAGTACTTGCTCTCTCATCGTAGCTCGCTGCGTCCCCATTTAAAAAGGGTCGTGTCCTGCTCTGTCAGTAGGGGTTGCAGACCCGTGGAAAACTCGTCGGTTGTTTCAATGTTCGTTTATCTAATATTCAATCATCTTGATCTGTTGGATCTTATATTAATATTTCACTTATCAACGAAATAACATCATTCTCATCGCGTGTTTTTTTCCATTTTTTTCTCTTATATTTTTTATTTCTTACAAAAATATGAAGGATCAGTGTTCGAGATTGAGATCGTCTAGACACGAGTTTATGAATTCTCAAATACAGTGGCTGTGCATAGCTATTATAATCGGATGAATTGTTCACTGCCGGTGATCGTCTCAATTAAAAATTCGACTCAAGTTTGTGAAAATAATTGCTTTTGTAGAAGCAATGCACATCGAGAAAATTATTCGTAATTGTGTGTCGCAGATAATGTTATAAGAGAATAACGTTTTCTCAGGAGACAGTAACACGCGAGCGATCGGGCGCGTCTTTGCAGGTCGAGGACCTTTCGGTTTAATTATTCTTTTGAAAGATAATCCAAGATTAATTCTCAATTATTCGACGATTAAATAATAATAATCATGATAATAACGAAACGAAAAGGGCATCGCGAGGTAACAAATTTATTACTTGACAATTTCTTAATATTTTTTGAAAAAAGTTTACAGTATTACGAAACTTGTAAGTATTTAAAATATTATTTTATATTTTTATGAAAAAAGCAGAAGTATTTTAAATGGAAATAAAGAAAATGTTAATATTATTAAAATATTTATAATTTTCTGAAGACTGTACCATATTTCTTTTTTGTATATTTATTTGTTATTATATTAATTGTATTTAAATATTATGATTATTTTTACAATTATTATTTTTAAGATGAATTATTTTGGAGTATAACAATTCGAAAATTTTAAAACATAAGTGGTTAGAACTAATATATGTCGCGTAAAAATAGAACGAAAAGAATAGTGTATATGATGTAAATGTAGTGTTATATCATTAGTTTTTTTAATGAGCAATTGCACACATGTGCAATTAATAATTCTAACAATACATTATATTAATTGGTTTCTTAAAAATTAAACGAAAATGTACAAAATTGAATTAATTATATAACAACCAATTTGTAATAATATTTTCAAAAATTATTAATTATATTTTTAATGTTAAAATAATTTATAGAAATAATTTAATAAAATCATTCAATTAATAGTGTATAGAAATGAATTTTATTTCCATTAATTATTTATTTCATGTCAATATATGAATGCATTCTACATATTACATTTTATGAGAAGAAACTCGGTTAATTATATTACAATCTAAATGAAATAGAATCATAATTTAGATTAAATTTAGTTAGAAATTATTTACGAAAATTTTGAAACAATTTATTATTAGAATATAAATAATATAGATAATGTAATTTCTTCATAGTTTACGCAAAAGAAAAATCAATTTACAATATTTTTCTGTTATATGCTCATTTCGTGGATATTTATATTTAAATATTATTTCTATTATTGGTAAATAAATATATTCTCTTGGATCCATTGATGCGAATAATTTATATTATGTTAAATTATATTAAAATCATGTATCATAAATTTCTTCAAATATTTCAATCCTTCTTTACTTTTCGCTACTTGTCACTTACTACATTCGTTAACAAAGATAAAATAAGGTTAGAATTTCGTGTTTCTATAGTTATGCTTGCTACAGTTGGTTCCGCAATTGTGAAAGAGAAAGAATATAACGAATAAACACTCTATAGAGGATTAATAAAATCCACCTATCAATCATCACAGTTTCATTCAACGTCAAAGGTCTCGTTAAGCAAAAAAGTGAAAGAGAGAAAAAGAGAAAAAAAAGAAAGATAATCAAGGGATTCAGTGTCACATTGATGCTCTCTTCTCTTTATTATGTAGACTGACGATCCTCGAAAAGGTTACGGACCTCTGAAAACTCGAACGATAATATCGATGAAACTCGGTCAATGATATCGATATTCATATGCGTCTGAGAAACAGGATCTTTAAAAAGGGTTGTATGATGGAAGTTTATTGATGGTTATAGTTCACAGAACTTAGCATCAATGCTATTAACCTATAGAGTTCAAGCAACTACATGGAGATCAGAGAATTACTCGTTGTTAAAAGAATTTAAACGATACATAAAAGATAATAGGAATTTTTATTTTATATTTTATTATGATGATAGTGAATGTTTATAAAATAAATTTTTTTATGATCTTTATTGTATAATTCTTCGATTTCGTTATCGATTTAATCATTTTAAATCAAAAATATAAGGAATATATGGATTTTTTAAATATATACATATTCAATATTCAAATGAATAATTATTGATTTTTGGTCATTGAAAGCTGACATTAAAATATACAAAGCATTCAATAATATTTTTAAATTAATATTTAGATATTGGAGAATATTGAAATGTTTCACAAACACTTTCACAATACAATAATTTCTTTTTTTTTTTAAAATTGAAAATTTTATTGAAATTATAAATTTATTTATATAATATTAATTATAAAAATGTTTATAGGAAAATATTTATTATTAAATAGGAAAAAAATTATTCTTAAATGTAATTATCAATGACTGCAAAAATATTAAAAATATAAGAGTTTTATAAGAGATAATTTTTCTTTTTTGCAAAATAATTTTCCATAAAATAATTTCCATATTTATCAAACAATTTTATCAAACAAATTTTCATTTTATCGTTCAAAAATATCATTTTTGTGAAAATGTGAATTACAAAAAATAAAATTCGTTGAGCTGTATAAAATTTCCTTTTATCCATTTTTTATAAATTTAGTCAAAAAAAATATTTGTTTCAGTTTTATAATTATTATACAATGAATCCAAAAGTATTGAAAAAAACAATATAGAATATAAATGAATAAATAAAGAATAATAAGAAAAATAGATATATTTTTTTTAGTGTATTAGTTTTTAATATTCAGAATCATTTTATACTTTAAAAATTTTAAATTTATATATAATTTATATATAATTAAATATAATTTAAAAAAATAAAGAAAATTATTATATATTATACATTTATTTAATAAATTCAGTTTATTAAAATAATGTTTATCAAATTTTTTATTGAACATATTTTGTAATACGTACTATATACAATTGGCACAAGTAAAACTTTCGATGGCCAAAGATATCTTATTCTCTAACTATTCAGCTGAGATAGAACAGGAAAACGAAAATTCAGCATAAATTACTTTTCTAAATTTTTCTAAATTAAAATTTTCTAAATTAATTTTTTTTTTTTAAAGATCTGCAAAATTTTTTCTTTGTGTCTAGAAAATAAAACTTAAACAAAAAATAATTTTCAAATTAAATATAAATATTTAAATAAAAATTAAATTAAGATTAAAATCACTGAACAATTTAATATAGAGTATTGTTTTAAATACTTACAAGTAACATAAATAAAATATTGAAATTAAATGATTAAAAAGAATGTTAATAAATAACACAAAATGTCAAATATAAAAAAATTTTTTTTCATGAAAAATTAAATAAATATTAAACGAATATTATTATAGTAATGATAATGCCCATCAAATTCAACTTCCAAAAGTCAACATAGAAGATCTTATGAAAGAATCTTAATCAATCTGAAATTAAAGAAAAAAGAAAAAGAACTTTCGTAAAACAAGTTCGTAAAGATGTTATGCTTAGACATGAAGCTTGTCTCTCGTTTGCGAGGAGTCTCGTTGACGAGTAGCTCATCCACAAACGTGTCACCGGTCTCCTCTTTGGCGACCTCGACCTCATCGACTGGTGTCGGTATAGAAAAATGCAAACGAAGCAAAGGAAGAAGAAAGAGCACTGGTGGTGGAAACGGGAGTTCGGTAACGGAGAGCGATAGCGAGGAAGAAACATTGCCGGCTGCGCATGAGATGATGCGCAGAAACAGGTCGAGATCGGTTTGTGTGTCTGCCTTGTCTTCCGCACAATCAAGATTCCTTCATCGGCGGGCCAGTCATCATGTGTACGTTTAATCAAACGATAATTCAATTCAGGGGTAACAAATTTTTTTCACAAGTCGCATTAATTGTTTTCTTAGTCACTTAATTCCTCTACCATCGATGTATAATCGAAATGAAATGACTTCTAAGTAGTTTATTGAAAAGTACTGTTTAACCTTTCTTGTAAACATGGGCGTTTACATTTGCCTATGAACAATGCTAAAGATGAAATTGACTTTAAATCCTATCGGATCTTTTTCATTGTTTTTTATCTGATATTGACCGATGTTGGCCAAAATGTTATCATTACTCGAACGTTATCCATAGCTGTCCATATTTACGTTTACATTTTACACAGGTATAATGAATATATTATTTAATAATTTAATACATATAATCTAAATACATTATTTATATATTTATTTATTATGATTTAGAATGATATTATATATTTGTTTCAAATATTATTGCATTATATTTTAAAAAACGAAGAATATAGTATATATCGTAACGAGATATATTGTAGCAGTGACATTACGTATCTCGTTCAACGAATCGGATGAGTAAAAATCAATTTGCGATATCTCATGCTTAATCTCCGTAGAATATTATCTCCACAATAACTTTACTGGATTATATTTTTTTGTTTACACGTGATATCGATTTTGTTAAGTTCTAGTAAAATTTGCGAAAACGGAAGAATTAAAAAATAGAAATTCAAATATTAACATCATAATTTTGATTTTATTTTTAAAATATAGATTAAATATATTTATAATTTAAAAATCAACGAATATTATAAACGATTTTTATATAACTTCTTCTATATTAAATTAAAGAAAAAAATACTATTTTGTCGATACTACAAAAGTTTCAACAACTTTAGCAAAAATAATTGTAATCAAGTACCTTATATAAAAAGAATTTAGATAGATAAAATGTTAATTGATGCAATCTAGATCTTTTTTTGCAGGTTGCCCTCATTAACCTAGATATCTTGAGATGGCAAAAAGCAAGAAATATCGGGGAAAAACTCGTTACAAAGACTGTTTCCTCCTTTTTGTTTTGATCGCCTTTGTTAATCAGAAATGTGGCATTAAAAAGCAATTTGTCAAGTGATCTTTGAACGTTATATGATGTTTTAGGTCTACCACGGATGCCATTTCCAGGCGAGGTGTTCTCTCCAGACGATATTATGGCAGCGTCGAAATGGTGAGTTTTCAATTTATGCGTACATATTTATGAAATCGATGAATATGAATTTCAAAATAAATCAAAATTATGAATAACTTCGAAGTGATCTAATGGTATAAGCGACCTCTATTTGTCCACACTATTAAAGAAAAGGCGAGTACGAACGATGTTTGTTTTGACTCTCTTTTCCATCCTTTTTTATGTTTCGTAAAATACAAAAGAAACTTCGGCCATATTGAGATTGAACTTCAACTCTCTTATCCCGATTTTCGATTTTCGGTTGTTTGATTTTTTATCATAATTTTTTTTATCAATGTCAAAATTTAATTAACAAATAATTCACGAAGAGAGTTACGCGAAAAGGATCGAAAGAGAGGAGAGAAGAAGGCAAGAAGGTCATAAAATGGCGTTCATTTCGCCAGTTTTTCATGCGTAACGATAGCCCTTCGAAACTGGAACACAGTCTCTCTATCTCTTCCTTCCTTTTCTTTGTACCACGTGATCTAATGTTAGCCTGCTTGAAATCGTCTTTCAGCTGCCGCAAATCGAGCAAGACGGGTCTGACAATGGAAGAAGATTTCGAGTAGAGAATGGTGATTCCCTTGGCGAGAAGGAGGAAGTAAGAAAAATGCATAATTACCTCTTTTCGCATCCCTCTATATTCTTCCTTTCTATCTCTATATTTGTGAAAGTTTTACTTTTGAATTTTTTATCGTAAACGTTAAGATACTATAATATGATTATTTTATGATAGATAATATTTTCTAATAGGTGAAATATTTTTATTTTAATTTTTTTTTTTTTGCAAAATTTAATTTTGAAAAATTTAATAAAAAAAATATTGGATAATTAAATACATCGTTAATAATGAAGAAACGAAAACTACGTCAAAAAAAAGAGGAACAAATTTAAATTATTGACGAAAAATTGAAAAAAAAAAAAAAACAAAGTCACATCCTACGCTCGTATTTTCATTTTCTCTTCCGCCGTTTGGTTATTGATAAAGTCGGATTATATTTCTGGTTGAACTGATTTTGAACATGTGCAGATGTTCGGATCACCGAGTACGCCGATATTGGAAAATCCTGAATATCAGACTCGTTGGTACTTCAAGTACTTTCTCGGAAAACGTGAGTAGAGTGTATGCTGATATTTTTAAGAATTTTAGATAACTAAATGCATTAGATAGCAGGAGTTCAACAGCTGTTCGAGTATTTTTTTGTTTAAATTTGATGCAATGATCTATTTTATTTATATAAGAATTTATTCTTTCATGTTCATAGTATAGTAAATGTAGCTTTTTTTTTTATAAATTCAAAAATATTTTCAATCTTGTTTAATTATATTGAAAAATTTTATTCATTATAATATTTTTTAGTGCATCAAAATTACGTTGCTGCGGATCAAGAGAGAAATCCTTTGTTTCTCTCAGTTGTGACAAGTGAAGTCAGTGATCAAAGCGTACCACATTACAGAGTTATTTTATGGCGAAAAACCGTGAGTATTGATTAAAACAGTGAAATCTTTGATATCAAAGAATTAATCCATTCATTTCCTTCATTTAATCATTATCTTATGTATAAATATTTGCATTTTAATCATACAAATATTAAAGATGAATGCGAAGAGTGAAAAGATATTATGAAAAATTGCAAAAGAATTGTAAATTTAAGAAACAAGATTCCTTTTGCAATTTTAGAAAATAGTTTTATTTTGTGCTTTATTTTTACTAATGTTGTATATATGTATAACCCAGATTGTTTTGAGATAGACATTGTATGAAGTGATTGCTAAAGAATAGAAGATATAAAAAAGCAGGGAATATTTTGTGCATTAAATGTTAAATATTAAATGTAAAAAAAAAATGACAATATTAAAAAATTTATAGAATCAGAATTAGAATTGCTAATTTAAATTAACGAAAATAAATAAAAGAATAAAGAAATAAGAAAAATTAATGAAAATTATAGAACGATAAATAAAAAGAAATGAAAAAATTTAGGGCGCACAGAAGATATCGCTGCCATACTCTGCAAACAAAACAATGACAATCAGGCAGATCCTGAGGTAAATATTGTGCTATTTTCGCTTGAGTGGATAGGTGAATGATAATTGGTGATTCAAATTTCAGTAATTTCTTTGGACTGGAAAAGCTCGACAAGGCACCACGTGAAATATTTTCTCCAGAAATTCAAAAGGTGGGTATTAAATGAAAAATCCTGTTAATAATAGAAATCCTTTTTGCGAATAATCGATATTTCAAAATAAATAGAATACCAATATATTCATTAATGATCTTTGAAGGATCGATTCTAGATCATTTGTCAAAGTTTTGTGTTTCAGGATCTGCTCTTGTTGGAAGAACAAGAAGGTTCTGTCAACTTCAAATTCGGCGTGATATATGCGAAAAAAGGACAAACAACCGATGATGAGATGTTATCTAATGGTAAATCGATTAAAACTTGAAATTTAATAATTCGATAAGTTTTCCTTTATAGAGACTTTATTGATCATCAACAACAATGATGATTGCATTTATTTAAAAATGAATTTATTTTTATTGTTATTTCTTACTTCATATTGTTATTTTTTTTTTTGTAGAAAATTAAAATTAAATTTGTTATTCAATTACGAAAGATTGAATTATTTATTTATTAAAAATATTTTTATTATATATATATTCCAAATATAAATATTTATGATATATCAAAACGACGAAATACGAAAAGGAATCTTTATATGCTTCATTTACAGAAAAGGGTAGTCCAGGTTTCGACAAATTTCTCGAAATTCTGGGTGAGAGAATACGACTAAAGAATTGGGACAAATATCGTGGTGGTTTAGATATAAAAGGTATTTTTTCTTCTAGTGATGTAGATGTGTTACATAGAATGTTACTTTGGAAGTTTTATTTTCGATATCGATTATTTCAAAAGCTCTGATATAAAATCTTATAAAAAGAAATATATATTTCGTAATAATTCTTCGCGCATTATTATCGTAAGTAAATTTTCATTATTACAATAATTCTTTCATTATTTTCTTCTATTATTACAAATAGCCTTTCATGACAATCAATATTCGTTATAACAATTTTCAATTGTAACATGCATAAAGTATAAAAATTTCCTTGTTGAAATCGAAACATCTGAATAAATATTTTTCTCAGGTTTCATTTTCCACTATCTATTATTTACTATTATTTTATCTATCTGTTCCATACAGTTATATAAATATCGTTTTCCTTGTAAATGTTACCAGGTGATATGACTGGAAAAGAAAGTTATTATACGGTATACGCAGGACACGAAGTGATGTATCATGTGAGTACAATGCTTCCTTATTCAAAGGACAATCCACAACAGCTGGAGAGAAAACGACATATCGGTAACGATATCGTTAACATCGTTTATACGGATGATCCTAACGCCATAGACAGTTTCAACCCGAATTGCATTAGAAGTCAATTTACTCGTAAGTTTCTAAAATTCATGACACTTATTCTCTATATCTATCTCTCTTCTACTTAGCGTAAAATTAGATTTAAACTTGACTGAAGTTGTACGGACACGAATATGGACGAATTCAGCCGAATTTTAACGAAGTAGAAAGAAACAAATATATTGCCTCTAACTTATCGTTACGTCTCACGTGCGCGGTTTTAAAAAGTCTAAAAATTAAAAATTCTTTTTTTTTGTTTAAATAACTCGATGAAAAAGTATATATTTCAAAATTTTTCCAAAATTATTTCGAAATATCGTTTAATTATTCTAATTCTAATTAGATCGATATTAATCTTTATCCATGTTTATGAATATAGATGTATTTGCGGTGGTATCGGCCGAAGAAAATGATAAAGGATGGCGCGTGGCAATTTATTGCGACGAAAATGTTCCTCTATTCGGACCAAGCCTTCCTTGTCCACCTGTTTTTGAGGATCCATATACTCTACGAGAATTTCTTCTCGTGAAATTAATAAATGGTGAAAAGGCTACGTTCAACACGCCAACATTCGCTCAAAAAAGAGAAAGAACCCTAGATGCTCTTCTTCGAGATATGTATCAAGAACATTCGCAAGAAAGTAAGAGCAACGTAAGTGTATTTAACAATATAATATTTCTGCATTGATAGTTTCATAGATTTTCCCTATAAGTATCTCTTAATTTCCTTTCCACAAGAACAATTCACAAATAAAAGAAATTTCAAACGCGATTATTAATATCCATGTACAATAATAATAAAAATCGCATGAAGCAGATTTTTAGAAGATTTTTTTTTACTTCACATATAATATACAAAATATAATATGTTGCACTCTTCCATCCAATTCAATTTTGCAATAAATCCTAATACATTTACCTAACAAATAATCATAAGAAAGAAGAAAAATATATAAAAAGAAAATTTTTGTCATGTGTATTGGTTGTATCCCCTCTCCCGTAGAAAAGAAAATCGATCGAATTTTCACAGAGTATGTTAAACCGACGAGCATTGTCGGATGTCGTGGAGGCTCCAGGTCGACGTCGCGAGGAGACACGTGCTGTGGAGATGGTGCGCGTTGGCCAAGCATTGAAACTGGAAGCAATTGTCAGAGGTTTGGCGCCAACTTCTTTGGCCACGGCTGGCCCATTGAAGCCAAGACCTTGGGAACCAAGATGCATCTATCCTGATTTCCCTCACGAGGTTGTCTGTGGAGATGTTTGGCTGGATAACAAATTGATCCTTGCTAGTGAGAATGGAACTTTTTTAATCGAAGGTAAGATGAAGTTTCTTGTAATAAATTCACATTCAAATTCTTCATTACATTATGATTTTTTTTTATTCCAGATAGCTTGTCTCATAGGCTAATCTTTGACGAATCTGTGCAAATAAAACAATTAGATGTAGTCGAACAACATGGAATATTATTATTTCGTGCCGGCGACAAAGGCAAAGAAAGCAATATCTACGTTTTTCGTCTAAAAGAATTCGAGAACAATACGGCGAATAGGTCAGCCGAAGTGTTGAACGATCGTGAGGACGATCAAGAGTACGAAGATAATGGCGACGAGGATGATGCGGATGACGATGCCGATGAAAGCGAAGAGAATGATTACGACAATTTCACGCGGGCTACTGCGAAATTTAAACCAGTGATCCATCGCACTCATGCTCGTGTTCGTCCCTTGGCTGTTCGAGGACGAGCCCATATAAAAGAAAGGAGATTACCCAGAGCTCGGGGCTGTCATTTATATGCCATTACAATGCCTGGTGGTTCCCACTTGCGCATGGTAAATGTTCCTTTTGTATTACTGATTCGTTAACCTTTTACATCTTTAATGATTCAATCAATCAATATCTGTAGTTTATGAAGTCCAACAAATACATAAAATGTTCATTGATCTCGTTATGGTTGCATTGTGGTTCAACAGTGAAGATACATTCCACTTAGATATAAATTTTCTATTGTTAAATATATTCATGATTGATAGTTTTCTAAGTGATAAATCTATTTGATTATTTAATCTATTGGTGATTAAATCTATTTAATATTTTATAGTGTGCGGTAGTAGGACGACGTTTAACAGTTCTTCAATGGAAACATAATGCTGCATGGACCGCGTGGTGTTCTGCCGCAGACACAGACACTGTCGAGGGTTTTTTGCATTTAAAAGACTTCAACGCTAGTGAAACCCCATCGTTAGTAACGATAATTGAAAATACAGATTCGAACAATGAATGGACACTTTGCTGCGGTATTCGACATCATTTTGAATTGATCTCAGCATCTGGAAGCACAAGAATTCTTCATATCGAAGGAATGCCAAAACCACATTTAGTAGCTGCATTGGATCTTTGCGAAGACGAGGAACCTGAATTATTACTTTGTTACAACAGTATGTAACATATATAAATTAATCTCAAATTTTAATACATTTTTGAATTATTTATGCTTGTCGAAATTTATTTCTTTTTTTTTCTTTTTTGTTTAAAAAAAAATTAATTTTTAAGACAATATTATATATTTATTGTATACTTATTAAAACTTTATTGAAAAAAAAAAGGAAAAAAGATGCGAAATTTTATATTTAAATACATAGACATATGATCTATGATATAAAGTTTAATCAGAGATTAAACAATATAAAAATTAATAATTTATTCTTAATGTCTATTAATTTATCGTAGATACGTGTCATTTTCAAAAACTCCTGGAAGAAAATACCGCACCAACGGAATTCGATTTTAATTGGAATTCCGTACCGGCAGCAATAGGTAAAATTTTATTTTATTCACTTACATTTTAATATAACATTCCTATTAAATATATATATTTTTTAATAATCCCTAAATACTAATTTGTAGCTTGTGCCTTTCCCTACGTGATCGCCTTTACCAATGATACCATGGAAATACGATTGATAATCAACGGAAATTTGGTTCATACGATCGCCATGCCAAATTTAAATCTAATCACCTCAAAGCAAGACATCTTCTTCGCTACAACAGCGCCGGAGTTTTTGCCAGGAAAATGCGAAAGAATCCGACTGGATTCAAAGCCCCCAGACAAGGAGGAACCGGTTTCCAGTCCTCCTCCTTTCGCGCAATCCTCGTCGTCTCGATCTAATCTGCAAAGTATGTGCCTTTTCAAAATGGATCATAATTTTCCAACTATTTGCACAATGTGAATGAATAATACAATTGTATGTTTCATAATACAATTGTTTAATACATATCTGAGTTAACGATTATAGGTTCTATAATAATGATAATTATGAGTTATAAATTTTTTTTTATAAAGAAATTTATATACAATCAGTAGTATTGTGAATATCGATAAATACGTGATTTCTAAAAAATAAAGCAGAGAAAGATAAATCAGGAAAACAAAAAAGAAATAATTAGATAAAACAATTAAATTAAATGAAATAATATGCATCAATAGAGATGTATTTAAGTACAATTAGTTTAGAAAAAAATCGGATAAATCGGCAAAGTATTCATAACTTCAAATAGGCCGATGTTTCAGTAATCAGTAATGAATGTGTTAAATATAATATATAATAATCTACATCAGAATATTATTATAATTTAAATAATAAAAATAATAAGTAAAAAACGTTCTTTTCTTTTCTACAGATAATCAGAGCGATTGGAAACCAATAAGAATCTATCAAATACCATTGCAAACATTATCGAGAAGTACTTTATCGACTTGCTCGCAACGACGATGTCCTAGTCCAGGAGAATCAGAAATCATCTCCTCTGCACCACCAACCACTGATAAAAGTTTTCTCAGTGTTGAACCTCACAGAGCATTGAGCAGATCATGTAGCAGCAGTCCAACACCAACGCCGACGACTTTAATTCCTCCACGGTTCAGAAAATAGATTAAATCGCGATCGAGAAGTTTCTTTTAATGACGAATTTCTTTAAAAGATCGCAAGCTGTACCTGACGCTCGTGCCTCGGTAGGATTGATGATGGGTAATGCACAATTCTATGCATTTAAAAAAAGTGTAGAACTTACTGCCGTTGCAAAGAGCAATCGAGACAAGTTTGCTATAATAGATAACGTAACCATACGTGCAAGAAGTGCCCTTGATGTTTTTTAAGTCAAGAGAAATCTTTTTTGTTAGATATATCTATATGCTTTTCTTCCATAGTTTTTTAATACAAACGCGTTTCTTTTTTTTTCTTTTTCTTTTTTTTTTGTCGAGCAACTCCTCGACAATATCATAAACGGATTAAATTTATATTTCTGAAAAAAAAAAAAGATAATAATAAGTGATAATATGTAACAAATTACTTTGGCTTTTAAAATTTAAATAAAAATTTATATTTCAAAAGAAAAGAAATAGAGAAAAGAAGAAAAAGTAAAGATTTATTAAAAATATGCAGGTAAGAATTTATTCTACAATGATCTTATTTTTTAATAAAATTTTTATAAAAATGCTTCATTTTTTGTGTGCTATATATCAGTGCCAGAATCAAAAAATTTGATAAATCAAAATAATAATCAAATTTAGCGAATAAAAATTATCTTAGTGATTTATTAATTTGATGAAGCGAGTTATAATAAAAGGAATTTTATTAATTCTTAAAGATTTTCTTCAGGGATTTACTTGGGCTGTGCCACATTTACAATTGTTTTTAAGTAATTCATAAATACTTATACTTTATACGTTAGTGGTCATGTTTTATTAATAAATACATACAATACGACCACATGTATATAAAATAATAATTAATAAAATGTATGCTGTCATTGGTAAGATTTTTCGCTGCGAACTTGCTCATGCCATTAAATCGCCTAGCGATTGTCCGTCTTTCATTCTAACTTGTTCGGTTTCTACATGTATGTATCTATTGCAAATAAAAAGAGAATAATGTAAAAATACGCATTAATATTAATATATAAACAAAAAGTTTATTAAATCATAGATCAAATTTAAAATAATGCATATAATTTTGTTTTTTTTAGATGAAACTATTATTTTCTGTTTCATTATATAATTATAATTAATTGTCATGTATCAAAGTATCCTATTTTTTTAATTTTTAATTTATTCTATTAATACAATTAATAAAATTAATTGAAATATATGCATTTAATTAATTGTAAGTCTTGACTGAAAAATCTAAATTCATTTTTACATTTTATAATATAATATAATATAATAAAACATTTAAAACATTTTAATAAAATATTTCAACTTCAAAATTATTTTTTTAATGTATTTTAAATTTTTCTAGATTTTTATTTTCAAAATAAATTTAGAATTCTATATATAAATCTATAAATCCTTAAAATCAAATACAATTATAAATATAATTATATGATAAAATAATAAAAAATTGTAAAAATATAAAAACAATTTTAAAAACAAATTTGTATATGTATTTTTTTTTATTTATATTCATATAACAATTCAACAACAAAATTTGATTGGAAAATTAGTTTATCAATAAAATTAACCTCTTTCTTCTTTTTATCGTTTCTTTAATAATTAAAAAATCATATAATTATACAATTTATTCATATTTGTTCGAATTACTTAAATAAAAAATAGATATTGTCATAAAGAGTGAAAAAGATTAGTTCATGTTTCCTGAAACGCGTTTAAACAGGTTCGAATCAAACGCATTCCGTAACTTTTTTGCCACACCGCCGAGAATTATAGATGCCAATCGCTGTCAAGCGGAGCTAAAGGAAAATGCTTTGGCGACCCCGGTCAGTCTCGAGCATTGAACTACGATCATTTACGTTTACCTGACTTTATGCCACACAACTGAGTGTTATATATATATTATATTTTTTATTTCAATTTTTCTGAAATTAATACATAAAAATTTAAATCTTGTTTATCAAATTTTAGAGATCCGTGATAAAATTAATTATTCTTGGAAAAATGATAAATAAATTCATAAATTAAGATGAAGTGTAATCTTTTTTTTTATAAACTAAATTTATTTATTTCTTTATTTTTTATCTATTATTTATTTTTAATTTAATCTTAAAAATAAAATAAAAAATATAATTATAAAGAAGATAAATATCATTGAATTTCATTTGATATTGAATTTATATATTGATTTTTACTATTTCTTTTTTTTCAAATGATTATTTTTTAGATATTTAATAATCATTTCATATTTAATTATTTTTGTATTCTTTAGTTATTTCGAACATTGAATAATAATAAATAAAGATTTTTTGATTATTAATTAATAACAAATATATTCTCAAATTTGTAATAAAAAAAAATGTATATAATTAATTAATTCAATTTTTGAATATTATTTAAAATGACTTTCGTTTCAAAATATGTAAATATTTTATATATCTAATATTACAAAATACAAATAAAGTAAAAAAATTAATTAGTAAAAAAATTTTTAAATAATTATATTGTAAAATCATTACTATAATAGTAATATGTTTTATAGTAATATATTACTATTTTATAATATTATAAAACATTACTGTAAAAATAAAATTAATAGATTTTATTAGTCAATCAAATATATGAATAAAATTGTAATTTGTTTCAAAAATAAAATCATAAAATAAACTGAAAAATTCTTAATTATATTTTATCAATCAAAAGTACATACGTAATTTACATCCTTGTGAATAAACACTGGAAAAAATTAATTATATATAATATTTCTCTAACTTCTTTTATTTCACTAAAATCACAGAATAAATGATATTAATAAAAAAAAAATATTTTAAAATGGTTAACGAAGCATACGTTCGATTTATACGCAACGTTCCGGTTAGATCAAATTGCGCGTCGCCATATTGGAAACATGCTTCTGTATGATATATTTATTTCTTTTGGATACTTTTTAATTAGAACTATAAAGTTGATTCTAAAGATTATTTGAATATAACGTATTTAACAAAAAAAATATGAAAATATTTCATAAAATATCTCAAAAGGTAAATAAAAAATATCAATCCATCATTGTTAATTAAATAGGTTATTAATAAGGTTATTATTTATTAATTAATATTAATATTAGTATCAATAATTAAAAATATTTTTTAATTCTTTTTTATATTTTTAATTACTAATATGTTAATGATAATAAAATGCTAAAAAAAAATATTTTAATAGAGAAAATTATTATTAATATTTAATTAACGTACAGTTTTTTCATTGTTCATTGTTTAACAGTTAATTTTCTTGCAGCAATATATTATTCATTTAACTTGTTTTTTTATTAAATATTTTATTTTATCAATTATTATGGTATTTATAAATTTTTAAATACATTAAATATTTATTATATAAAGGAATATAATTCCATCTTTATTTGAAAAATATTTAATTATGACATTTCATTTGGTTCATTGTTGTATTAATTTATTTTAATACAAGATATCTTGATGAATCCATTAAAATAATCAATGAAATGCGAATGAAATAATTTTTAAAGTTTCTTTCGTTTCATGAACGTTTTTTGAGTATCATTTCAAATCAATTTCATAAGGAATCGCTATATTATAGTACATCGACGCGCGACAACGTCGTCCATCTGGTGGTGATGCACTGTACTATTGGTACTGGCTCTGAACACGAGCATAGAAAGAGAAAAAGAGAGAAAGAGAGACACAGGTACGAGACGAGCTTGTGGTGTGAGGTAGTCGTAGCCACCAGTCAACAGCGGAGACGGAGACGGAGAGTCCGAGGTAGCCCGTGCCTGTAGCTGCCCGTGGCTCGTTGTAACTCGTTGTAACGTGACGCGAAGGTGTGCCAAGCTCTTTCGGTTGCCTGTTACTTCGTCCGAAGACGCCCGATTGCACATCTACCATAGTGTCGCATATCGAAAGTGTCGATAGTAGTGTTGTGTGATCTATCGGCCTATCTATCCTCGTGTGCTAGCCGAAAAAACTGTACCAGCCGAGTTATATATCATTGTGGAAAACTGTCAAGATTGTCGTGTCCCAGACGCTGCCTTTCAACCCGAATGCTTTAGACAATCCTCGTTGCGGTTGTCGAGTTGCACGAAACATAAGGTAAGGAAACGCGATACACGGAAGTATATGGAAGCAAAGGTAAAATCGAAAATTGTTTAGTCGGCTATTCGAACGTTGCGCGTACAGAGGTTATGTTTCCCGATGACCCCTCGACTCCCTCCTCCTCCTCGTTATCCCCTTTCCTTTCATCGTTCTTTTTCTCTCTTTTCTTTTCTTCTCTCTTTCTTCCCCCCTTTTCTCATCTCATTCTTTGCTTGATTTTTTTTCGTCGCGAACGTGTTCTCATCGATAGAAAATCGTTTTAACTTTATCAGCCTAGCTTTATCCAGAGACTCGATACTATGATATCGAATCGCTGCGATGAATTTCAATCGTAGATCGATTAATCGCTGATTGATTACCGATCTTTTTCTTTCTTTTTCTTTCTCTGTTTCTTCCTTTTAGCGTCTCTCCCTTTTGTCTCTTTACGTTCTTTTCCTCTTTCTCTTTCTCGGCTGCGAGCCGCGAAGGCACTCGCACACATACGTTCTCATACACCGACATATTCCGCTTCTTTCCTGCAAGACCGTGTCATAGCCTTTCTCGTGGTAACGAGTTTCGTAACTTCCCTCGATACAAGAGTCACGAACTATCAGCTGTCAGCCTCCGTGTTCGTACCACCTGTCCAAAAGTCGATTTTCTTCCTTTTCTCTGCTTCACAATTTAAACTTCGTCGTTTTTTTCACTTCTGTCCGCCTTTTTCTATATTTTCATATATCAATTTATTGATTCAAGGGAAAGAAGTTGACACAAATTTTTCATGATTACGCGGCTTTCGTGTCGGGAACGCGATGAGAACGAGAACGTGATATAGCCGCGTGTCTACGAACGAGCGAGGTAATCGGAGCAGCAAGCGAGGCTAACCGACTTGGACAATCATGTTGATATTTCGGCGCGCAGGCTTTCTGGCTTGACAGCGTGACCGGCCTTGAGCCCCTCCATACTCTCCTCTTACACTCTTCACCTCCATCCCCACTATAGGTAATACACGATATACACTGCAGATCAGTGCTCCTCAACGCGAGATTCTTGTGCTTGGGAATTTTCTTCGATCGCGCGTGCACTTCTTTTTCTCGTAACGCGCTGCATAAGGACGTTTTATGTTCCAAGTGAACCCGTTAATCCAAGGAGACAAGTTATCTCGTTTCGTATCTATAAAGATATTTTGTTAATTCATTGTTGAAATTTAATATTTTCATATTGTGATTTAACATATTCATATTAACATATTCATATTCATATTAATAAACGTAAATTCGATTTATATCACTACAATAAATTTTATAATATGTGATTTTATAATATGTGAACAGAAAGAATTATAGTGCCAATTATATTTTAATTAATAGAATTAACAATGAATGAAAGTGCAAAAATAGTTTACTTTTATTCAAATTATGTATTTTACATATTATAATATTATTCTTCAAAATTATGAAAAATTATAAAAATAAAACATAAAAAGCAATATTTTAAAAATATATAAATATAAAAAGAATAATAAAATACTCTTAGAAAATTTGTTTTCTTTTTAATATTATATAATTTAATATTTCATTTTTTTTTTATTATTATTATTTTTTTTGTATTAGAAAGAATAATCATATGAAATCTTATATGAGTCGGGTTTAATCGATTCGCTTTGCGATGATAAATGCATTCTCATCGGAACGTTATCCTAACGTTATCAAATCGAAGGTCGAATGCGAATTCTAACACGTAAACAAGTTATCTTTGATCAAGGAACTTCGAACAAAAGTCTAACATTCTATTTATAGTTGCTTCATATTGGATTTTAATTAATGTTCGTTAATGAAAATTTCAAACTTACAAAATTCGATATCTAAAAACTATATATAATGATATAAGGATAAAGGATATAGATTAAATTAGACAATTACAGTTTTTTTTACGTTTTTTTTATCTTAACATCCGTTTTTCTTGTTTTAATCTATTTCTAATTTTCCTTTCTCATTTTATATTTATAATACACTTTTTATAATAAAAAATCGCTCAAATTGATCTTTTTTAAAATTATTATTTGCAAATTAAAATATTATAATTATTTCATTGTTTTATTTATATCTGTGTGCAAAATTTAAATAATTTACAATAATAACATTTTATATAAATAATATCATGTTTAATCATTTTTTTCATTTGTATCAAATTTTTTGATTTAATTTAATCTGTTTAATTCAAAAAATATAATATATAATTATCAATTAATAGTGATTTAGAAAAAATATATTCTTGTTAAATAAATAAATATATTATTTGATTTATTGTTTAAATGGAATATGGAAATAACTGAGTAAGTCGAGAAATATAAATGAAAACGATAGGGAGGGGAGGAAGGAAGGGTAGAATAGAAGTAGAGGAGCACGAGAAAATCGCTGGCTCGAGACTGACTGTTACAGAAAAAAGGAAACGGGATCAAATGGATGGGGCATTAGCCTATAGCGGTATACATGAATACAGTCAGTAATGATGCTGTTGACACAAAATTGAACATTAATACTTCTCTTTATCATTTAATTATTATTATTTTATTCATATTATGATTTTTTTAACAAATAATTTCAAACGTCAATGATAAGATGTTAATGTAAGTTTTTATTATTAACTTAACAAAAATTTATAAGAAATACATTCGATTTTATAAATATTCTCTTGAAAAAAACACAAAATTTTATTTATATCAATAATTATAGGAAATTTTTTATAATAATTATAAGAAATTAAAATTTCTCATGTTACCTGCAATTGATAATATTTAAATTATCAATGAAATATTCTAATGACATAGAAAAAAGTAAAAATAATTTTCAGAAACCATTATTATTTAATCATTTATTATATATTTATTAAAATATCATAATTATATAATCATTTATTATATAATTATTAAAATATAAACTATAAAAATGTGAAAATATTTATATTAACTTATATTACAGAAAAATTATACAAAATTATGCTTATTATATAATTATATTATATATAAAATATTTTTTATAACTTATAATATGAAAACTTATTGTATTATAAATTTTTTTGGATGAATATATTTTATAAAAACTATTTTATATCACTTTTCAAAAAAAAATCCGTAAGCACTATTCATTTAAATAAATTCATATATAAAAATCTTAACTTATTAAATGAGTTTTGTTTATTTGTAATAAATTACAAAACATAAAATTACATACGAAATTACCTGTAAGATTATAATTACCTGCAAGAATTATTCATTTACTTCGTATTATGATAAATTACGAAAATTTTACAAAATCATGAATTCTTATCTGACATTTTCGATAAATTTATAATCGTCTTCCTCAAAGCATCATAAATTACTTTGAAGTCATTGTGGATTTTCAACAACATATATTTATAAAATATTTCATTTTTATAAATATAAAATAAATTTTTAAAGTAAAAAATATTTCTTTAACTTTTGTATTATCGTTTCATTTTCAAATGAAAATAAATTAAATCAAAAAGAAATAAAAATTTAATGATACTGTTTATATCAAATAATAAAAGTGTCGAATTGACCTAACCTCTAAAATATGACAAAAATATTGTATTGCAAATTGAAAGAATTATTGTTTGAAATATTTCTGAAACTATTGAAAAATTTAATTTCTATTACAAACGTTATTTGTATCTTAAATTTTTTAAGACAAGATTTCGTTTATACAGATATAATACACAGGTAAAATCCATTAGTAGTGACAGCGACGGGTCTGTCCATGATACTGCTAGTAATCGCTACTCGAGATTGCGCAAGCTTCTTCTCGATCTTATCACAACCGCAGAGTGTATACATTACATATGCATACACGGACTGTCATGATATATGTATTATGCGAATATGCATATAATATATATAAAAGTAAACGAATATGAAAAACATTAACCATACAAGATGTATTGAAAAAATTAGGAATAAATGATTTTATTCCATGAAACTTACTAGATTATAAATTATTTAACAATTTTAATATCTCATAAAATAAAAAAAATTATATTATAAATATGACAAGAATAAGGAAATAATTTTAAATTATTTATTTATAATATAATAACACAAAAATATTTTCAATACTACATACTATATTTCTAAGACTTAGAATAGATTTAGATTTGAATTACATTTAGTTACGAATTAAAAAAATTTTGTTGATACTTCAAAAATTAAAACCAATTTATATAAAAAAAAACTGTTGAAAATATTGACTTTGACATAATATTTTAAAACTATCGAAATTGGTGAAATAATTTCTATTAATTATAATTATAATTACAATTATTTATAAATATGTTTATTTTGAATTAAGTTAGTATGATGAAAAGATAAACTTTTATTTTAAAATTATAAATTTTTTGAAAATATTGATGAAAATGATCTCATTTCATAATTAAAAATAATCTGTAAAAAATATTTTCATATTTGAATGCATGATTAATATTACACACTATTCGACTTGTTTACTTTGTCATTTTATCAGGCCTGATGTAGAAAGAGATATCTAAATGCATTTTTGCTCCATACATATACAGCAACACGAAAACAGTAATGCGATATGACAATGTATAGATATAGAATGCAATGTAAGTAGGTATGTGCGCATATGTGCATATTACGTAGAGAATTCTATGTCGCATAAATGGCTTTCATTGCATATATATAGTTCCACACCCTGCATGTGAAAAAGAAAAAAAGAGACAGAGAGAAAGAGTGTGTACTGGAAACTCCCTGGATCCTTGAGACACGGATAGACCTAGTGCGACTTATGAATATTGATGAACCTTTCCCGTACTTGCCCAGCCGCACCTCAACATTTATTACTCGACAACGATCTTCCTCTTTTCTTCCTCTTATTTCTTTTCTCAAACTAATTTTTCCAAGTCACTACGCCACTTAATCAAATTTTTTTTTCAATTCTACATTCATTTAGTTTCCTATCTATTCAATATAATAATTGTGTGCATGCGCAGCCGCTAGATGTCACTAGTTATAGTGTTTATTACTTAACTTCATGATTTCAAATTTCATTGTTAATTATAATCATATTTTTATGCATGAAATAGTTTTTTATAATATATATTATAATAGATATTATAATAAATAATAGATACGCATGCTAGATAATATATAATATACATCGATAATCTTTTTGAACGAAAGAATCAACATTCTTTCGTATATGTTTAAGGTATTGTGAAGATTGTGGATATATATACTTCGTATAAGAAAATATATGCACGTTTGTAATCATCTCATATGTTTGTAAATATATATTCGTTTTAAAAGAAACATTTCGCACTGTCTTTACATATGTTGGTGGAAAATGTTTAATTCAAGGTTTTGATCCAGAATTATTACATCAATTATAAATATGCGAATATTACATTCCAGAGGTCGCTGAAAACTCTTTAATGTATTCAATATGGTGATTGGTACATATGAAAACATGCATGATACTATATGATCATATATATATTTTCAACTTAACAAACATACCGTTATAAATGTAATTAGTTGCTAATTGATATGAATAAATTTATGTATAGAAGAGAAAGTTGAAATTTAAAAATTATAAATAGGAATGCAAGGTAAGATTTAATTGATTTTTATGTAAATTTGAAAATAGAAGAATAATGGAAAAATATTAACAAATAAAATAACAGAAAATTATCATTTTCTCACAAATTTTGTTTTTTATTGCAAATAGCATATAGAATTGTGTAAATTTTGTTCGAATAAAATATATATATGTATTTGTAATTTATGTATCTCTAATTTATAAAATTAATAGGAAAAGAATTTTTACTATTGTTCAAAAGACATCAAATCAAATATAATTAAATTAAATTAGATAAATAAATTAATAAAATTTATTTATATAAAAGATATGATCATTTATTCAAAAATTAAACGAAACATAAAATAAAAATAATGACTAATTAAATTCATAAATTTATCCATAAAAATTTTTTATATTTATATTACAATTAAATATAGTATTGTATTGTTTCGAAATTTCATTAAATTTTTTTGTTTTCGAATAAATCTTAGTGATCATTATGATACTTGTTCGATTCGAATTATCGAAAGAATTATCCAGTTTATTATATGTCATTATCGACTGTTCTCTATCACAAATACAATTTTTTTCTAACATAAAGCCAATTCGACGCGATCTCATTGAGGTAAGCGAAAACAAAATGCGGCAATG